ACCTATATGAAAAGAAATGCTTGCTATTTTCTTTGTTATGCAATGTATTCTTTTAATGTTCCTAATCAGAAAATTGTTTTGAAATTCCTCAGGCGTTACCAGGATTAGAATGCCTTCAAAGAAGCTTCCCATGCTTTAGAAATGCTCCACGATGTACTAGCTAAAACTTTGGAGCCATTATCTGTTGTTGAGATCTTAATTCAAAGATTTAATCAAGACCAATGCTTATCAATTTGCTAACGTATTTCAATGTCGTCATTGGCAGATGCAAACTTTTCAATCAAGTGTGGTGGAGGAGCGATGCTATATGATGGGATATCATTTGAGGCAGATAATAGCTCACTTGGCCCAGCAACATTTAATGTAACCAGTGCACGGAGATGGGCAGTTAGCAATGCAGGCTTGTTTGCAGAAGGACGAATTCAACAGTTTGTGCAAAACTTCTTAGGACAAGTGAGAGATACCAACAATCCGGCACTGTATCAGACTTCAAGGCTATCCCCTGGATCACTTAGATACTATGGCCTAGGCCTTCAGAATGGACCCTATACAGTAAGATTGTTCTTTGCGGAGACAGGCTTTCCAGAGCGTTCCTCACAGTCCTGGAGGAGTCTAGGAAGGCGTGTTTTTGATGTTTATATCCAGGTAATATTTCATTTGATGTAGAAATTATTACCATTATAAGCTGTATATAATTCATTCCATTCCTCCTGTTTGCTGTGTTTCTACGATCACAATTTAGTTCACATGATTTTACGCTAAGAAGTACATATTGCTATAATATCTCATCAATGCTTCATTAGGGAACCCGACGATTAAGGGATTTTGATATAGCAAACGAGGCTGGTGGTGTCAATAGAGCAATAACTAGGAACTTCACTACTAATGTAACTGAGAACCATCTTGAAGTTCACCTGTTTTGGGCTGGTAAGGGGACTACTGGCACACCCGAAGATGGTACTTATGGTCCAGCCATTTCAGCAATTAGTGTTGTTCCAAGTAAGACACCTTAAACACTTTTGAATCCCCATGTTATATATCCTTCATATGCTTATCTTCTGTTTTCTCTTTCTAATACATCTATTCTGTTCCTCAGATTTCATACCAACCGTCAGTGGAATACCACCAAGCAATCCTAAAGGGAAGAACCACACAGCATTAATTGCTGTGTTACAGTCCCAGTTGTGGCATTGGCTTTGATACTTTTATTTGTAATTGTTTATGTGAAAAGAAGGAGAGAAGATGACGATGAGGAGGGTAAGTGAGTTAGATTTATCATAAAATATTGTATGAGTATTCATCATATATCAGAAAAAAAGGTGCATCTTTTCATCTCTGTTCAATTTCAGTGGATTAGTTCATATGAAAAGACCCCATTACCAGAAAAAATCTTCTGCCTTTAAACGGGAATGCTTAGCAAAGTTCATAAAGATTTTTAAAGTAATATCTAATTATGATAATTGGATATATTAGAGAAGGTTTTTTTTATACGGGTTACTAATTGCCTTACTTGACTCTACAGTGCTTCTTGGCATCAGCCCTAGGCCAAACACATTTAGTTATTCAGAGTTAAAAGCTGCCACCGAAGACTTCAGTCCTTCACAGAAATTAGGAGAAGGGGGGTTTGGACCAGTGTACAAGGTAAACAATGTCTAACCTTTTTTAGCATGCTGACTTTCTTCCCATAGGATGATGAGATTACCGAGGGATAATGATTTATCACACAATTTTACTAAATCGTATTATGCTTTAGGGTACACTTTCTGATGGAAGAGTTGTAGCTGTGAAACAACTTTCAGTAGCATCAAACCAGGGGAAAGAACAATTTGTTACTGAGATAGCTACCATATCAGCAGTGCAACATCGTAATCTTGTCAAACTATATGGGTGCTGTATCGGAGGAAATAGGCGTCTTCTTGTTTATGAGTACCTTGTGAACAAAAGCCTTGATCAGGCACTTTGGGGTATGCGGACAACCTAATATACTAATTTTGATGCTCTTCATTCTTTGTTGATTAATGAACAATTGTATGAGACTTGTTGCACTAAAATGCAGGAAAAAATGTCCTGCATCTTGATTGGCCAACCCGCTTCAATATCTGCTTATCAACCGCAAGAGGGCTAGCTTATCTTCATGAGGAGTCTAGGCCAAGGATTGTTCATAGGGACGTCAAGGCAAGCAATATTTTGCTTGATGAAGAGCTCTGCCCAAAGATATCTGATTTTGGATTGGCAAAGCTTTATGATGACAAGAAAACACATGTCACTACTCGTGCTGCCGGAACCATGTAAGACCTTTCAACCTTTTTGTTCATGGGTTCAGCCTTAGTATCATGTAATTTCTATTCCCAAATTGCTAGATTTAGTAGTTTTATCACTGAACATATTCACCAATGCCATGTAATTATCTTGAAGTGGCTACCTGGCACCGGAGTATGCAATGCGTGGGCATCTTACAGAGAAAGTCGATGTTTTTGGCTTTGGTGTTGTTATTTTGGAGGTCATGAGTGGTAGACCAAACTCATATAATACCTTAGAAAATGACAGAATTTATCTTCTTGAATGGGTAATCCAGAAGCACGTCTTTCCCTTTTGCAGCACTATTTGTTTGAGAACATTATTAAATATGATTATTATTAATTTGTTCCTACAATGTCTCTAGGCATGGACATTGCATGAAAATAACCAACCATTGAGCCTGGTTGATCCAACATTAGCAGAGTTCGACGAAAATGAAGCTTTTCGAATGATAGGGGTGGCACTTTTATGCACTCAGGCATCACCATCAATGCGGCCGCCTATGTCCCGTGTCGTCGGTATGCTTGCAGGAAATATTGAAGTGAACAATGTTACAACAAAACCAAGTTATATAACTGACTGGGATTTCCAAGATATAACAGGCACCTTTGTGGATGAAGAAACACAAACATCCATTGCATCCGATCATAGCAACAGCGACATCAAGAGTAAGAACAAGACTATTTCTGGGGCGGATAATCAACCAATACTCTCCCCAAGAAATATTACAGAGTTCAAGGAGAGCATTGGAGAAGGAAGGTGAGAATTGTTTGTTCCATGCCTGCTATAATATCATATCAAAATGTCAGAAAACAGAGAATTTATGCTGTTTCTTCCACTCCCCCCACTTTGTTGTGCTAGAAACTATCATTTCTATACTGAGTTGTTTTGTAATATACGTATAACAATATTGTAAACTTCATCATATACTGAAATGTACAATAATGTCTATTTTTTTGTCTTTATAGATGTATTTTAAGATTAAAAGTCTCTTTTTGGCTCTTGTTTGTAAGCTAACAATTAAGTTTTTGAGAATGATAACAAATGTTTTGTTCATTAAAATACTTGGTAATTTGACATGTGAAGTTACATGCGAAAATTGGGTTGTTGTGGGAACCTTTGTACATGACTGACTCCATCCTATTCTTAGGAACATTCTGTTACGTGTATATTATATTATATTATATTCAGGAATTGATACAAGATTTTATGTCGATGGTGATAACTTAAGAAGTTATATTAGAAATTTAGGGGTGCAAAATTACGAAATTTCAATGTGCAAAATTATATCAACGATAGAAAATATAAAGAAAAGGCCTACTATTTGAGAATTTAAAATTTCTAGAGTGCTATTACATCTCCTAATACTCCTCGATTCATCCCTAATTATATTATATTATGTATCATGTATTGAAATGACATAATTAGGATGGATTATAGAATGGAAGTATAGGTCAAGCTAGCCACCTAAATCTGTTGGCTTGACAGACTTTCATTTCATATATATAAATAAACTCCGCCATATCCAACTTGCAGTAAACGTTCAAAAACAGGGTTCACCTTGAAAGTAACATACACAACTGGTTATTGTCCATGTCATTTCGATACAAAATAAATAGTTGAATACAGATAACTCTCCAAACCAGGTTGGATCTGGACCCTACAAGTTCCTGATCCGTAATCGATCCCACCAGAAAATGCACTACCCCTTCTCTCCCTACAGTGGTTTTCAGATGGGGATTGAATATGTTATGCAGAGCACATTCTTTCTTAGTCATTGACAACAAGTATACCCCGCAGATCTTGTTGCTCAAATCCGAATATATAAATATCTAAAGAGGATAATTTCAAAGAATTAGTAATTATATGATGAGTCCGTAGCAATATCAGATTGAGACTAACGAATTTGTCACAGTTCTGGGGTTGGATAAAATTCCCTGGAGTCTAAGACTTTTCTTTGGTTTTATATGAGATCAACAATGAAACGTTAGATGTTAAAATTGGTGGGCCAACTGCATATTGCAAAATGCAGGTTCGTCATTTAAGAATAGATAAAAGAATTGGCGTGAACGGCAGGATTCGAACCTGCGCGGGCAGAGCCCACATGATTTATAGTTATACCTAGGGGTGTATTCGGTTTGGTTCGGTTTGATTTTTTACCAAAAATTGAACCGAACCGAAATAAACGGATTTTCAATATTTAAACCGAAACCGAAATCGAATAGTTAAAAAACCGAAAAAACCGAAACCGATTTTTTTGGTTCGGTTCGGTTTTTTTAACGGTTTGAATTTTTCGGTTCGGTTTATCGATTTTTCAATAAAAAAATCACTTGAAACTATAATTTTTTTACAAAAATTGCCTATTCGGTTCAATATGGAACAAATGGTTCATATGGAAAACCCGAATCGAGCCGAATCAAAAAATGAAGCCTTTAAACCGAATCGAAAACCGAATCGTTTTACTCGATTCGTGTCGATTTTTCGATTTTCTCGATTTCGTTGCTCAGCCCTAATCATACCCGATAACTACTCCGGCACGTCCACCTTTTGTTTGCTGATTACTTTGAAATAGTTTCTTCTTAATTATTAATTTACTTTCCTGGAACCAAAAAGAAAATTAGCTGTTGCAGACTTGAAAAGTTGAGCTGAAGACTGTTGGGGAAAAAATACTTTAAAAGGGTCCCTTCCCTGTAGCTATGGCCCTCCTCATCAACGCCACCCTGGACAGAACTAGAAGCCTCTGCATTATTTAAGAAGCCAAACCCGAATCCTCTTTCAGATAAAACAAATCAGAATTTTTACAGACACGTAAATTTTGGGAAGAGTTGACGTTCAAGATGGGTATGGTTATAGTCATCTCTCTGCCACTCATTTTCTTCTGCATATTACTTGGTGCTGGATGTTTCTTCTTTGGAAGAGCTAAAGGCCGACAAGATTTCCGCACCAATCCTCAGGTTTACGGGATCCCAGCTGCACCACCCGGAGCAGCAACCACCTCTTTCCCGTCTCCACTCTCCAAGCCTGACAATTTATCCAATGTTTGATAGTGTCATCTCAGCAGAGCCGGCCCAACACATGTGCCACATGGACGACGGCCTAGGGAAGCATGTTGGGGGCAGTTTTCTAGGGTTTAATTTCTATGTTACACGGTCCTGAATATGGGTTGTCGTTGTCTGTTGCAATGAATTTCCTTGAAGAAATACCAAAGAACATGGCCGCTTGTCAAAATGTGGTCTCTGATGCAAAATCAACACAAAAACCGCCTGCACCACCCGATTTTCTCTCCATTTCACGCAAGAAATTGCTTCAGAACCTTGAAATCAGTGCAGGAGCAAGGGTTAGCGCATGGGTCGATTCCATGAGAGCTTCTTCCCCAACTCATATTAAGTCTACACCTTTCATTGCCGATGATGAAGGTTTCTTGAATGTGAGTTCTTACCTGTTTCAAGCCTTGAACCAAAATGGGTTTTCATTTTTTTCAAAGGCAATAAAGATTCTGACTTTCTGTGGTTGATAAAATTGTTTAGCTGCACCAATACCATCCATCGGCGTTGGATATGTTCGAGCAGATAATAGATGCTTCGAAAGGGAAACAAATAGTAATGTTTTTAGATTACGATGGCACTCTTTCTCCGATTGTTGCAGATCCAGATCGAGCTTTTATGTCCAAGAAGGTTAGTTATTTGTTCACATGAACCACGGCTATTCTTTGCATAAAATTTTTGGGTACTTCTCATCTATAAATTTGACATTAATTTCACATGTTTTGTGTACACCAGATGAGAAAGACGGTGAGAAAGGTAGCCAAATGTTTCCCTACAGCTATAGTGAGTGGTAGATGCAGGGACAAGGTACATTTTCAGGCATTAAAATTTGATCCTTTATTTAATGTTCACACAATTGGTAAATCTTTAGTTGTTTTGAAAACTGCAAGGTATATAACTTTGCCAAGTTGGTTGAGCTATATTACGCTGGAAGCCATGGAATGGACATTAAAGGCCCTGAGAAACTTTCCAAATCTAACACAGTGAGTAAACTTATGTTTCTCAGGTCAAAATCTAACACAGAAACACATGATGTGTTTGATATAAAATCAGTACCTTGTTCTCGACTGGCACCTTGACTTGCACTTTGATCTTGAGATTCCAACGACTGATCTTGCTTTAAGAACTTGATTGAACAAAGCAGTTATCTGTTTAAATCATAAATCTAACATTAAACACTACAGAACCATATTTACCTTTGATCTAGGTTTTTTCTACCGAAAACTTGTTGTAAACTTATTACCTGTGCACAATTTCCCTTCATTTCTTTCCATTTACTACTATGTTGTTAGTTGTGAAATTCTTGATGTTTATATTCTGAATTTTATGCCAAATGAATCCGAATGTGGAATCAAATAGGCCCGAGATTCGCATTTAGCATCTCTTATTCTTAGATTACTCGATTAAACTTATCTAATAGGGGAAGGATTTATGCTTGGATTCGAACTTTGAATTCATTAGATGCCAGTTTTTGAAGATGACTGCATGAACCATTTGAGTTTCGAGTTCACTTAGGAATGCTTATTCTTTCTCTATAGTGTGTGAATTTGGTGGTTGGCATGAACTAATCCTATGATAAACCCATCCTCAAAGTGTAGTAACGAATCGGCCCGGGATTTGTATTTAGCATCTGAAATCTATTTTCCTATTCTTCGACTACCTCGTTAAACTTTTCCGGTAGAGAAGGACTTATGTTAAGATTCGAACTTTGAATTTGCCAACTACCACATTTAAAAAGTATTGCATGAGCGGATTGAGCTAAGTTTTGAGTTCAGGAACGCATCGTTCTTTCTCTTCTAAACCTTTGATGTTATGTAAATTTGTTTACAACTTGTAGGTGGTTGGCATGAAGAGACCATATCATTTTTCTCTAGACAATGTTCCAGGTCACCCTATCGTAAAATAATAAAGGTTTTTGCTTCAAAAAATGTACGAAGACATCGTTTTAGGTGATATTTATAGTCTTGTAGTTTTTGGTTTGTATTAGTATTGATATTGTTCGACTATAATTTCTATTATATTTTTGTGTTAAAAAAATTATTTATGTTTTGTCTATTATACGGTACAATTATATGGGCATAAAATTGTTATCTCGCCCAGGACATTAAAACTCATTGGACCGGCCCTGCATCTCAGAATTAAGGTTACACCCAGTGTCAAAGATCGGATTTCATATCTGAGATATTTACAAATTTGGCTATTCTTTTTGTTTTCATTGATTATATACATACATGTGTGAGATTTTTCAAGACATTGGTTGAAATATAAATCAATAAGAATTATAGAAGCAATAAATCGACAAGATGTTACAGAAAGAACAATGCTAGAGAATTATGTGTTTGTGTATTCATTCCTAAGCGCCTAAATCTGTAAAAACCTCCAAACCAGAGTAAAAACTGTAAGAAAGTCTAAATTTACATGCCTTGATTACAAAACAGTGTTACAACTCAGGCAGGCAGTTTGATTATTTGCAGCTTGCAGACTCTTCGTTGCACCAGCAGATCCTTACCATCTCAATGAATTGTCAACCTCTCTGTTAAAACTATATAGGTATAGCCTTGTTTAAAACTGTGTCGAGATCTATTCAGAATAAATCATTCCCACTTCGATCAGAGAGGTGTGTGGAATCCCGAGGGCTGTGGCCGGGTGCCTACAGTTCTGTCTCAAGAACCCGTAGACGAAGTTTATGGCAAATTTCTTCAAATATGAAGATGTGTCGCATGCCAAAACACAAGTGCTACCCATCATGTATGCCAGACCGGATTCCCTTGCCTCTTTCAGATCTTCCAATTCCTTGCTACATCCCACACCACGAAATCTCACTGTTTTCTTGCTCGACCCAGTATTAACACCACGCTGAAGACTCAAAGCAGTAACATGGTCGGGTGGGATTGATTGCTGCTGATTTACAGGTTCCCAACCTAATTCTTCACTATCATTGTTGCCACCCTGTAAAAACTCTGTTACGTTTTCAATCAGATGATTCTCAAAATCATGACTATCCTTCCTTTGATCCTTGTAACCATATCTAACAACACATTGAAAGAGACGGAAGTCGGGTGGGCCAATGCGACTGATAACAAAGCGCAGATTGGCAGGAACTTTTGGGACTGTAAGTGATTGCACCGTAACAAATATAAGGATACAACGAAAGGCAGGAAAGTTGGTGACAAAATGAGAAAACATTGGGGGAGGCCCTGTGGCCACATTTGAGTAGATTAAGCCTATTCCAGGAACACGGTTTATCCCAAGGTTTGGGCCCATGCTTAGAAGCATATCCAAGCTGACCTTGTTGTTCGACTCATACGCCTGTTTCTTTAGAGTACCATAGTGCCATACGCACATTGTAGACAGTACTATTAGCGAGAACATCAGAGGAAACCAACCCCCCTTATGAACTTTTGCCAGGCATGCAGAGAAGTAAAGCAATTCCACAGATCCAAAAACGATGACAAATGCTAAAGCTCCTAAAATATTCCTCTTCCACACCATGACAATGACCAGAAACATCAAGCAGGTGGTAACCAACATTACAATGATAACAGCAAGACCTAAAACAAGAACAGCAACAAGTCAGCATTGGATGCGAGTAAGCTGCAGGGAGAAGAGAGACAATAAGAGATGGAGCACCCAAGACTGTACCATATGCATTGCCTATCATGTCTGTATCCCTATACCCAACCACAACAGCAAGGCATAAAACCATCAATATCCAATTTGCCTCTGGTATGTAGATCTGCCCATGAATGTGGTTTGATGTATGTACCACCTTGACACGTGGGAAGCACTTCAAAGCCCTACACTGGCTGATAATTGAGAAAGTGGCAGAAATAATTGCTCGACTCCCAACCATTGTTGCAATTGTTGCAATGATAAAAACTGGCCAGAATACAACCTCTGCATAGAGAAGGGAGGGAATTTGATATGAGATTATGCTCCCTAAACAGAAAGCTGTTGAACTTATCCAGCCTTTCCGTACCGTAGACCTTTAAAACTTGATTTCTAATCTATATGGTTTACATGTGACTTGTGACCAAACACAGTAGACATCAAATTTACACACAGAGAAATAGCATGGACACTCTCAAATTAAATATTACAAGACTTGCTCGTTGGATTTACCGGGGATTGCTTTATAGAAGCTTTTCTGAAGGTCCTCTTTGTTCTTGGAGAGATAAGCATCCTCACCCATGTATGCCAAAACTAAGCAAGGGTATACAACAACAGTAAATGCAAGCTGTTCACCAGAAACATATGTAAATATAAATCAAGAAAGCAGATCATAAATGTCATGCTTTGATAGGAAACAAAGACATAAAAGAACATTCACAGAGAATTTTATAACATTTGAGGCAAGCAAAATAGGTAGGATGTTTCTAATTCTTTTCCAAATTATTCAAATCCAAGCACAGGGAGGAACTTACCCGGATTGACAGTTGGGAAAAATGACCAAGATCAGCAAACATGGCATCAACGCCTGATAAATTGCAAGAAGGGAATTCACCATTTTAAACAAAATTTACCTTAATTGGAAAAGGCTTGGCAAGAGAGGTAACTGGCGAACCTGTAATGCAAAGAACAATGCCTCCAAGTGAACTCCATCCATCTTTTCCAGCTTTTTTGAAAAATATATACATAATATGGTGACAGAGCACGTATTACATGTGGGTTCCAGTATATGGTGTTGTAAACTCCAACAGTACTAATGCAAAAGAGCCACGCTAACAAAATAGGAGCAAAAAGAAATCCAACACTACGAGTCCCAAATGCTGAAGTGCAAACAGTCCCACCAAAATCACACATGCAATAAACACAATATATGCATAAGAGAAGCCAAATTAAGGCTTAGTTTGTTTTCACAGTACAACCTCTTCAAACCTCTTATGTCTACGCCGCGCAGACCACGCGCAGACATTAAGCTTCGCATACCGTTTGTTTTTTAGAAGACAGAAGCTCTTCAAACGTCTGTGCGAGCTCTTTTTGGTGCAGACATAGTTTTATGTCTTCAAAAGTCTTCAAAGGTCTGCAGGAAAAATTAAAATCATTTAAATCTATTTTAAATTTATTTTAAAATATAAATTAATTTATTTTAAAATATAGATTGATTTATTTTAAAATAGATTGATTTATTTTAAAATATAGATTAATTTATTTTAAAATATAAAAATTTTATTTTAAAATATGGATTGATTTATTTTAAAATATGAAAAATTTTATTTTAAAATATAGATTGATTTATTTTAAAATTAATTGATTTATTTTAAAATATAGATTGATTTATTTTAAAATATGAATTGATATTTTAAAATATGGAAAATTTATTTTAAATATGGATTGATTTATTTTAAAATAAATTGATTTATTTTAAAATATGGATTGATTTATTTTAAAATATGGATTGATTTATTTAAAAAAATTATTATTGTAGTATGAATTATTTAAATTTCAATATTATAAAACTAAAATTATTTAAATTTAAGTATTGCAAAACTCTTTTAAGTTTAAAAAACCAATTTATTTTATATTTCAGTTTATTTTAACAGTCTGCATACGTTAAAAAACAAACAGTCTTCTTTTTGCAGATTGCAGACTTTTGGTCCACCTCTTCTGCTGCAGATGTGATTCGCATACTGCATACCTTTTATCTCTTCAAAACAAACACCACCTAAGTATATGCATATATATGTTCATCACGGGCTATACTAACTCCATTCAAAAGGGAGCTATAAAAAACCCTGTCCAAATGTGATTTTACAATAAGCTTTCCTGCAAATTTACAAATAGTAACTGGAAAAATGCTGGTGGGCTGAGCTTGTAGATACGTGTAATTAGAAACTCAATGACTCTTGATCAATAGTAAGGGATTCTACGATCGAAAGGGAGCGAGAAAACACTAATTTGACATACTCCCATGAAGACTAGGAGCCTTAACTTTGACACCATTAACTGCAGAAAGAACTGTATAAAAAAAGGCACCCGGTTAATAAATGCAGGAGTTGATCATAAAGGTGTCGAAACGGTTTTTTCCCGGGTGAGATTTTGGAAACCACACCAGTTTTAATTATTCTCTTTAGATTAAATTTAAATTAAAAATGAATGTGATTAAAAACCTCTCGTTTCGAAATTTGGAAATTCCTTTATGATAAAAATACAGTTCGAGGAGTCGCCACCAATCTTTGATTAAGGTGTGATTGGGCACCCAAAACGTTTTGTCATTTTAAATAAAATTAATTTTAATTAAAACAACAAATTTAGGTCCGTGTTACCAGAAAATGAGTTCGGGAGTCTGTTACACGTGGGGAAGGATTAGCACCCCCACAGTGCCCTAAATCGGTACCTAGTCGATTAATTAATTATCTTTGTAATAAAATGTATAAGTTCAAAATTAATTTGATTTATGATCCCCTAAAATAATATTTTTCAAAATTTTGGATGAAAGAATAATAATATTAATTATTTCCTATCGAGAAGAAATGATCTATCATACCTTGAAGCAATCGATTCTACTCCAATCGAAATAAAAATATTGAAATTTCATTCTAAATTTCAAAATAATAACACCCAAACTAATTTTAGAGATAAAATAATAATATTAATTATTTATGATCGAACATTATTATTTTGAAAACCCTTTAAAAACACATGCAAAAGTAAAAAAAAAAAAACTATCAAGCAATTGATTAATTTTATTTACCAATATTTAATGAGAACAAGGGTCAATTATTAAATATCAAGAGACGAGACCATAGATTCGATCTAACTGTCTTTTCTCGATGATTTAATTAAAAGAATACGATCTTTTCCTCTCCCCAAATTTAAAAATGAATATGTTTTAATTGGTGTCACTTATAGGATAGACTTTCATTTTAAAATTATCAAAAGTAACTTTCTTATCCGTTAAGACAGTCACTTTACGACAATATTAAAATGCTCGAATATTACCATTAATCAGATTATGTAATTAGGTTGATGCACGTGAGGATCTATACAAATACATGTAAAAATGTCATACCAATTTGCAAATAAATCATCCGTATACTTGTACATATCAAAACATATCAACATGCAAACCATTACGTGCAACTAATTAAAGAAATCAATCCTAATAATGGACTAAATTAAAATAAATTTACATGACTTTACACACCATAACGCTTAGTTTAAAAATATAAATATGCTTCATATGGACCAAAATATGCCACCTATGTATGTATATATATACATTTATACCACAAAGGACAAAAATAGCATATACCAAAAAGCAACCGAACATAGTGCAAAATAACATGAGAATTAAAATGAACATACTATGGGATTAAATGTAATTTAACAAATTACGGGCTAGAAGTCAAAACAACAAGAAATTATAAACAACATAACATAGGACTAAAAAAGACATACAATTTAAGGTTCCAATGTCTAAACATAAAAGGTTAATACAAAACGCTTGGGACTGAAATTAATGCGCAATAAATATAGAGACAATATAAATATAACTACAATTAGGGACCTAAATGAATTCACATGAAACTTAGGAGCTATAATCAGAAAAAAAACTTAAACACCCGAGTTGAATGCTTTGAAGCTCAAAGGATTAGCCAAAGGATTTACCCCTCCCTATGCAAAACACGTTTTACAACTATTGAAACACTGTTATTTTTATGATTAATATATTATTTAGATGAGAATTTGCCCTAACCTTGTTTACTAACATAAACTCTCCCCAGCGACATCTCCCCCCTCTCTGACTCTCTTCACGAACAGCGGCTGTACATCAAGATCCACAGCTCGTTCATCACTCGGTCGGTCACCACGTCGTGGTGGCCATACTCCTCTCCGACCACTCCAAGGTAATATTGCTTCCTCTTTTTTACCTCTGCTTTCTATTCTGTTTTGTTTCAAAACTTATACTAAAAATGAATATGATTTGTTACCTTAAAATGCTTGCTTTGTGCTGTCGGTTGATAAAAATGGGGAATTGCTTGTACGAAAAATCAAGGAAGGAAAATTGGTATTTTATTGATTTTGAATCAAAATCCCAGGAGACCCTTTTGTATTAATGACCCTCTTACAAATTGTTTTTGAAAGATCCCCTCTTTCTATTGAGAACCGACCCTTACAATCTGTTTTCACTCGGTTTCATCTTTGATCAAATCCTCCCTTCCTATTTACAGCTTTCGATGACATATCGAACCCCTGCTTGTTGGTGAATTTTGCCTATCTCCTTTCTATTTTTTCCTTTTGCTTCTTCCTCTCCTCTGACTCTCCTCCTCCATCCCCGTTGAAATTTCCCTATTTATGGTTGTTTCGAATCCACTTTTTTCTTCAATTAGTGTTGAAGCAGTATCTTTAATCCCGTAATTTCAGGATTTGCTTTTTTTTCAACGATTTAGGTAACTTAATCTTTTGTGTTGACATTGGTTTCATCCAGTCACATTTGCTGAGATGGCCAGATGATGACAACTTTTAGAAGTATTTGGTGGTGTCTCTATGTTGGCTGACACTGCAGTAGGACATGCGTGGATGACAGTTTGAAGTTGATGGCAGCTTGCTTTAGGATTTTAGCAAATCCTAAGTCAAGGATCTGGATATTCAGTGTAAGTTTTGAACCTAACCATCTAGTTTTATTTCCTTCTTCTTAATCAAAACTTTTAGTACTCCTTATGAAATATATTCAGTCCATTAGAATAGAAGTGAAAGAGGGTTAGCTAAATTTTTTTTAATTTCTTGTTTGGTTTTTCTTTAAATCAAGGAATTGGTTGTATCGACATAGTGAAATCGCCAATCCGAGAGTTTACTGGGAATTGTATTGATCCGACCTGTGTTTTTCGGCGTCCTGTGAGCTCATATTCTTTTTAATAAGTTCATGTTGATTATGGGATTGATATATCGTGAACGAATTGGATTTTTTTTTACATGTTTTGGAAATTTTACAGTTGAATATGTATTGAATTATAGCTTTAGAAGACAATTCTGCATGCACGCAACTCGAAAGACATCATGACAGGGTAGTATATTTAAAGCAGCTACTTTATATGTTGTACGGTCATTGCACATTTGCACCTTCATTTTTGGCATATATATGTTTGTTGCAGTGTTCTCTATGTTTTACAGTGTCTTTTATTGTTGACGTGCCATGAATTTACAAGAATTATGAGGTCCTATGATTTTAGTTCCACTATCTACTTTAGATTATCATCATGTTTGGCTATTGAGGAACATTAAATATGGAGCATTATAAGCAATTATATGTTAAAAGGGTAGGCCATTAATGCATTTGCAACTAATAATGTTGTATTTGGCATCTAATGTTTATCTTAAACAACCCATTTGACGCTTTAGCTTTTGGAGTGACTATGACCGAATCTCTTTCCCATTATTTATTAAGTC